TCTGTTTGGTCACACAGGGTGATTGATGCTTTTCTGAACTGCATCAGCGTTAGCAAATGAAGGGAATACTTTGAAAGATTATCAGCAAAGTGCAAGTACAAGATAACTCTTAAAAAAAAAATATTGTCAGTTCTGTATTTGCAGAGAATAGAGTAATAGATACTATGCAGTATTCTGCATAGGTCCTCTGGGGAAACAGATGTTTTTTCACAGCTCTGGAGAAAGGCTGTGACCTGCTTCACAAATGCACCTCAAAGTACCTTATCCCACCTTACCTTCTCAGAATGATTAATAAAATTCCCATATACTGGCAAATCTTTCAACTGGGTCCTTTGTGATGGGGAAAGAAGAATTGCTTTTTCAGATTTTTTTTTTTAATTTTTTTTTTTATTTCCATAGAAAGATATTTTAAAAAAAATATCCGTAGGCATAGAGTAGCTTGTGTTTTTGGGATAACCTTTGTGCCTTTTCAGTTATCCAGACACTGTCAGAGGGAGCGAAACTGAAGGGAGGAGAACATCTCTTACTGCTCAGATTTAATGCCTGCCGTGCCGTTGCTTTCACTTTCTGTCTACAGCTGCCGTAATTCTAGTGAAGAGCTCTTCATTCTCAAAGGTTACACTTTCTGTATGGCAGGAGCGTTACCTCTGTCGGGGAAAAAACAAAAGTCAGACTTACTAGAATGTTTTAACAGAGAGTAGGGAGGACTGCAAGCTCTTTATTGAACATTACGGAGTGAAAATATTTAATAAATATGTATATATAGATTGCAGCCATCACATGTCTTTCCTGATGTCTCTTTAAAGATGAGTAGCTCTTGAAAATAACTAATATTTTTCTAATATGTCTTTAAAAATGTATGAGTGCTGTGAGTTTCCTTCTGAAGAGTCTTGCATAAAGAATCTTAGAAAAATACATCTTAGTAGTACAGAGCTGAAGTTCAGTATGATTTATTGCATCTCAAGGATGAGATGCAGCTGTGGTCACCACTGGCTGTGGTGACAGCTACCTGCTCATTGCCCTTTGTGTGACTACTACAAAGGTGGTTGTACCCGTGCTTCCCTCTCTTATGCGGTTGTGACTCTTCTTTCAGCTGTGTCTGTCCTAGGAAGTTGGCTTGCATGCTGCACATCATGCTGCTGGTGTGATTCCCTTGTAGAAAGCTCATTTTCAGGTGCACCATGCGGTACTGGCCTCCTCCCAGTCTCCGTGTTCCTAGCTGGGTTATGCTTCAGCAGATCCTGTGCTGCCTGCCCTCTGCAGCATTCTTCCTCCGAGTCACGTCTGCAGGGTCAGGACAGTTTATAGCTTGTTGGGGGGGTAGCCTCCACCATGTTTTTGTGTTATCAAGTTGCAAAAAAGAGGCTGAACTGACTGCAGGACTAGCAAAATAGGTAAAAATAATAAATAAATAAATAATTACTTAAAAAAAGGTCAAAATAATCCCTCCATAGAATGTGGCATCAGCTCATCTGCGGGCCGTGCTTCTTGCGTGGAGGTGCAAGACTCTTCTGGTGGCCCCCCCTTCCAGGCAAACACCATTGAGTTGGGGTTAGTGTCTCACATGCTTGGCTCCTGTTTGGGAATAATTTTATTGATGTCTTAATGTCCATCGATACGTTTAAGCTCCCACCACTGAAAAGGCAACTGCCCCTGACTATGGCCCCCTTTAAGAAAGAGGTGGGTGATAAAAATGGAGCAAAAAAAGGCAAATTATATTCATGGAGCTACCAGTCTTAACACATTTGTAGGAGGTATGGTTAAAAACTGTGGCTCTTGAAGGCTGGCTGTCTTGTTAAGAACGGCAAGCGTTCATAAAATGAGTTTCTGGCAGGTAGCCCTACTTCCATGTCTAAATGAGCTCCCCTTTTCTTGTAGGGTAGAAAACTGTTTACTTGGGTCCCATCTGCATTAGCAGTTGACTGTGTTTCTTGGCGGTTATTCTTCCCTTCCCCCACCATGGGACAGTGCTAAACCAGAAGAAAAAACAAACAATTATTTTCAATGTAATGCCAGAAACTTTGACTCCAACATGGGAGTGTGAAGCATTTTCCCATGCTCTCCCCAAAGAGACTCTGGGGTTCAGTAGAGTCCCAGTTTGAAGCTGTGGTTTAAAAGCACAGAGGCTTAATCAGTGCTCTTCCCTCTCGGTTGTGATGTCATGCCTGTCTTTGAGCAGGTTGAGAGCCATGATCTGGGTTCAAACAGACAAAAAAAAGCCTTTATGGAAAGAGGTGTTGCTTGTAAGCCTGCTAAGTTCCCTGGTCTTGTTCACAAAGGCGTCTATGCAAAGAGTAGCATTAGGGCGTGACAAAATTGGGATGGGACCCAAGGGTGGGGGTGGTGGAGTGATAGATGCTCCTTTGCCACTGGTAGAGCCGGAGCTGCTCCTTCCTCCTGCAACCCTGGCTGGCTCCGCTCCTCTCCCCTGCCAGCCTGGCCATCTCAAATCACGGTCTCTCTGAGGTGGAGGAAGATGGTGCCAAGTGACCCAAGGCAGGCATTAAACCATTTTTCCTCCAGTTAAGCTGAGTGCAAAGGTTCAGGCTGGCAAAGGTAACTGGGCTTCTGGAGAGATTTGCTTAGGGCAGTGGATGAGTACCCAGGGCTCAGGAGCTCATGGTAGTGGTGAAGCCAGTGGGAACTGGATGCCTTGGCAGCTCTGAAAATACTGGTAGGAGTCTGCTTGTGCCAATACAAAAAATACAGACACCTGCGTGTAGCTTCTTCTATGTGTGAATATGCAGGGGAAGTGCAGTGTTAACCTTGATCAGGAATGGGAGATAGGTGCTCCTGGTTTTACAGCCTGCTTCAGATTATAAATGTTGATGTTTCCGTTCTCTTTACAAGGATCGACTGTTTCTGCTTTTTCCTTTCCACTGGGTACACTGGAGAGAGGCTGGAGTGGAGGAACTTGGCATGCCTGCTGTTTTGTATGGCTCACCTTAGTTTCTGGCTTTGTAGGTTTGCTTTATAATTGATGTATTCTGATGGAGGGTGAAGCTGGCTTGATGTTAGGTGATGGATTCTGAAATTTTACATGCCTTTGCTGCCTGTTTTGGAGAATTTCAAAGGTCTTTACATATTTGAATGACTCTTAATGACGGAAGGTGATTGTCCTGCTACTCACTGACTTTAGTTTCTCCCACCTGGAGCCATCAGAATAAGACTCCCAAGTGTTTAACCCTGCTTAGGGACAGACAGAGGCTACTTTTAAGTAGCACTGCAGAAGTTGATGTTTTTTTTTCTGTACAAATAAATCATGCCTTTGACAGCTCTGGAGGGGAGATGTGGCACTTTCATTTCCCACAGGCAATTACTTGGTAGGGTTGACTTGGTATTTTCATTATAGGGATGTTGTTGATGTGCAACTGCCAAAAAACCCACTACATTTTAGCACTGTTGTGGTCAGTGCTGTCCTAAGGCAGACAGGACTGGGGGTGTCTTCTGAAGACGTCAGGCTTTATTTTCTGCAGCACATGCTCTTAGAGGAGCTCAGGGTGTGTTTTGATGAGCAGAAGCATGCTGTGCTTGCCCCCCTGTGAAAGACGTTCCCCCATAAGATGCCCACTGTTCCCTTCAGCTGGCCATCATTGCAGGTTATTTTTAGCTGGATTTGGTTTTACTTTCAGATCAGATCTTGGGAGCCACTCCTCCCTTCTTGCAAGCCAAACCTCTTTTCTGATTACCTTGGATTAATTTGCTTTGGTGAAGGTGATGGATGTGAAGGTGTGTGCTGACAGCTGCAGGTGCTAATCCCAGAGGAGTCCCAGGGTGCCGAAAAGGAGATAAGCACTGCAGCATCTGCGGGGGAGCAGCTGGGGAAGCCCCTGGGGACGTGGGAGGGAAGAGACTACTGGCTTGACAGTGCTGTTTTGGGCAAGACCGGCTTCCATGTAGTAGCGATGTTGGCAGCTTTTTTGTCTCCTGAAATGCATTGCTTTTGCACAAAGGCAGCTTCTGTTTCTTCCACGTTGCCTGTCCCACGTGGGATTCGCTGCTGCTGCTGCCTTCAAGATAACTTTTCTGCCTTCTGTCTAATTTGTTCATTTAGATGGGCTTGAAATTTGTCTTAGGGGCTCATTACCCAGAAGACAAGATGAGACACACTGCTATAAATGGGAGCACTCATATATTGAATGCTGAAGATGATGCACTGTGTTTCCAGGAATTGTCTCAACGTGCATGCATAAAGATATCTTACAAAGAAATGCATCTAAGATGATCATTGCATCTACTTGTTTCTTCCTTGACAGAGGAATTAAAATTTGCTTGTGTTTTTAGTACATTGCCATTTGCATTTTTCAGCCTTGACCCAACATGTAGTAGGGGAAGATGGTGCAGGTCTCCCATACACACTCTGGAGCCTGGGTGGGAATCATTGCTGCCAAGCGGAGGGGGCTGCAGTGGCATGGCCAGCTGCTTGCCACCATCCCAGGGGCCGAAAAAGCTGCACCTGCATCGCCCTTGCCCAGAAGACAGCTTCCCTCTTGCACAGAGAGAGGATTTGCAGAAGGGCTTGGCCGCTGTCAGGTTCTGGGGTGGCTGTTTTTTTGTGTCTGATGTGAACCTGAAAGGGAGCTGAGCAGATGAAACCATTTTCTGAGCTATTTTAGAAATTCATAGTCACTGGAAAAGACTGCAGCTGAAGTGCAAGTGACCAGCTCAACACAATAGTAAATAAAATGCCAATATGTTTGTTAAGAGATTAGCATTAGCATGGCTGCTGGTAAATTCTCTGAAAACATCAAAGAGCCTTATTGTTGCAGTCAGGTTTTAATTCCTTATTGGTTTCAGGAAATAGATGTCCTCAGAGCAATGAGAGGAAACTTTGAACGTTTTTCTTCCTCTTGTGCTGGGTGTGGGCTTGGTAGTCTGTCTGTCTGATGCCTGTACTCCCATAGGAAGCACGAACAAACCCATTTACATTTGTGTCATTGCTCTGTGCTTTCAAATATGTGGCCTTCTCATTTTTTTTGCTTTTTTTTTTTTTTTTTAAGATCAAAGGTGACAAGAATAGCGGAGCAGAGAAGTTAAGAATGATGCAGAGAACACAGATGTGAAGAACAAAGGAGAGAGGAAGGAGCTGAGCCCAGTGCAGAGGGGGAGAGGAGAAGAAGCAGCCTAAATGCAAGTACTTGAACATGGAAATTGTGGGTTGCAGGCTGCTTAACAGGAGTTTAATGCAGTGCTTTAATCTGCATCTAGTGCCAGTTGGCACTTTCAGAGCGGTGCCTGAGATAGGTTAATATTTTTTAAATTTTCTGCTTTGGTTTCAAGACTTTGGACTCTTACGTCAATAATTTACAGCTCTAAACAGGGAAGTGGCAACAGGGTC